ATTTTCAACATTTACTGAGAAGCTCAGCTTTGAAAGTACTTATGAGACAGAAAACCTTTTCAAATGCCTGTTTGATTTTTTGCCAAAAACTTTCAATCTCCATGTTTTCTTGTCCCTAGATTTTGAACTTTGATGATCACTCTTAATTATATGAAAATATACATGTGTTCTGTTCAATCTCTCAGATAAATGACAAACTGATAACAATAGGTTAAGCAGGTCTATGATTAAATGCTTAAAAGAAAAAAAATCCTCTCTGTACATGAAGCAGTGTTAGATCAACAGTCAGAACACTGATCACTATCTCAAACTCCAGAATTCTAGCATTTTGCCAAAGTGCCTGATTTTCTGTACCTTATCATGTGGTTCTTACGTATGTGGCCTTTTCAGTCCTTCCACCTGACCTGACTCACACTTTTTTCATTATACAATTTAATGGGATAATTCACCAGTTGTATGGAAATAGATTTTGATGCAGTTAAGGCATAACACCAACAAAGTTCTACATATTCTCATGTCCCTTTTTTTTATTTTGTTTTGTTTTTGGTGCAACTCTGACTTCCACTTTTAAAAGCTCATTAGTATGGAGGGGATCAGCCTGATCACAGAACTTTTTCCCATTTCTCCCTCATGTAGGAGTATTCTTCCTTGGTTATAGGGCGTTCTTCCAAAGTAAAATAGTGACTGGCAAACTGCTGAGCACTTAGCTGAACCAACAACTTCAGAACTGTGAAGAGATAGTATAACATTTGTACATGGGTCAGATGACATAAACAGCCAAAGTAAGTTACTGTTTTTTATTTAAGGCAATGACATTCTATCAATTTTTTATTGTTTTATGATGTATGAGGTTGATGTATTACAGGAATTCTCTAACTGCTTGTGTAACCATCTTTACCAATGACAGCACCATGAACTGCACAAGCCTCATATTTCTTTCATATGGAATTAACAAATCTGTTAATCTGTTAATCTGCTGTGCTCTCTACATTCATAAAATTACTATAAAATGCTCCTTGTGGTCCTAAAATTTTGGAACCTACAAATGGACTCCAGTCTGTAATGCATACTCCTAAGTCCAGACAGGTGAGGCTTTCTCCTTCACATCAGCATTGCTGCCAAACTGCATGAACTTTAGAACAAATGAAAGGTACGCAGGGTTGTTTGTTTTCTCTGTTTGCAAGCACACATTTGCAGCAGCCAGCAGCAGACTCCCTCCACTGCCTCTCCACACACACCCAAAAGCTGGCAAAGTGGAGGCCTGCGACTGTGTACTTTACCATGTTGCAGTAATTTTTTTATCACACACTGGTAACTTTTAGTCCAGAATAAAGAACTTAAACTAAAGGGTAATTAAACAGAATTTAGATGGTCCATAAAGAAGAATCAATTTACTGCAGCAACTTGTATTACTGCCTGTTCAGCTCTATTTTTAGGTGTTGAGATCTTCCTAGGCATATGGATTAAGTTACAGGATCCTGAGTGGAAGAAATTTTAAGGGACCAGTGTTTGAGATACCACAGTGAGAACAATCATTCTAAATGAGCTTGATTGGATCAAATCCTATGCCAGTGAAAAAAAGACCAATATTTAGAAATTGATATGAGTTTAAAAGACAGGGTGGAAGGAGAAATCACATTTATTTCTTCCACATGTGTGAAATGAACAAAGATCTTAAGAAGCTGGAAGAGCTTTTAAGATGTGAAGGGAAAGCGGAACTATAATCCTTAAAAGCCAGATGTTATGCCTGCGGGTTTCTAGCAAGACTTTAATTTATTAGTATATAGTAATTAAATAGTTCAGCATGGCAAGGGGGAATAAGTTCATTAGAGAAATACAGCATAAATAATATGCTGTAGGCTACTGGAAACAGCTGCTGAAATACTGCCAAATGGTGAATATTAAAATGAAAGCTGAAATATTACAGGAAATGAAATATCATGACACCTTTATAATACAGTACTTTTAAAAAGATAAAATATTTTGGAAAGTTAAGAGGTGTAGTACCTGGCAAATTCTATTACTACGCTGTGTGTGGAGGAATTGTCAAAGGATTCCATGAGGGTAATAATGCTCAGTCTAGGATTAAACACTGGAAGTACGTTTTTCTTCACTTAGAACAGCATTCATATGTAATACACAGCAAGTTATACCACCTTTTGGGATGTTCACATGGTAGTTTTGTCTGGGATACAGTAAATTTTCTTCACAGTAGCTACTATGAGGCCGTGTTTCACATTTGTGCTAGAAATACCATGTGTGATAACACGTGTATTTAATATGTGTATAGTTAATGCTGAGCTTACAAGAAGTCAAAGCCTTCTCTGTCTGTTGTTCGTAGCTGTGTGGTTTCCTGCCTCTTACCCTTAGTAGGGTGTGGGGCCAGGGATGGGATGGGACACAGCTGACCCCAACTGACCACAGGGATATTCCCTACCATTTGGTGCCATGCTTAGCATATAAATCTGGTTGAAGAAGTAAGAAGGGAGGATGTTTGGAGTGATAGTGTTTGTCTTACCCAGTCATTGTTATGTGTGATGGTGCCATGCTGTCCTGGAGATGGCTGAACACCTGTCTGCATGTGGAAAACAGTGAATTAATTCCTTGTTTCGTTTTGCTTGTGTGTGGCTTTTTCATTCCCTATTAAACTGTCTTTATCTCCACCCACAACTTTTCCAGCTTTAAATCTTCCAGTTCACTCCCTGATCTTACTGGTGGGGTAGGGAGAGAGTGGCTGGACGGAGCTTGGTGGCTGGCTGGGATTAAACCACGAGAACACTACAAAGCTTAATCCACAGCACGATTTTCTATTTTATGTACTCTACATGGTATGCTCTTGAAAATTAAGATATCATCCACTTCCTTCACGACTGAAGCCTGACTGTAACTCTAACTAACCCAAACTGATGTACCTTTCTGTAAATTCTGACACATGGAAGACATCTTTGTCTTTTGCCTGATATTCATCACCTAAATCTTAAAATAACAGGTTGCTGAGTAATTTATTGAGTTGAACTAACAGCCAATGATTTTATTTTTTTTAATAACAAATCATAACTGGAAAAACATCCTACAGCTTTGACATAAAAAAAAAAATCTGCACTTATTGTTGCAGTTTTGAGAGTGTATTTAGAAAAGTTGGGAAAACCAATACCAGTATTTATGAATATGTGTCCATTTCTGATTAAAGTTTATGGAAAATTTCAGGACATTTGTACACGATGAACTTGGCATCACAGTAATACAAGACTTGTTTTTGTCTCTGCTTAGTTGCTTGTGACAGTGGAATGCTTGCATCCATCGGGATCCCGCAAAACTAATTGGAACTAAGTGTTATGCTCACTCCTCTTTGATTAAGGCATCTTTCACTGAGGGGAAACAGTCAGAGCAGAACAACAGCTCTCTGTACTGTCCTAAGACTGCGTAATGTATGATGCTAGAAAAGTCAAGATTAATTGCTGGAAGTGAGAAGCTCTGAAGGTGAATCTGTGCTCCACAGGGTAAGTGAGGAGTTAACACACTTCTCTGAATGAACGACATTGACAGCGACGTTCCTGAGACCTGCCCTATATATCAGCACACCGTGAAATACTTAGCATGAGAACAGAGCAATTATCAATGGGCTTAAATTGCAAGATCACAGTTAAATGTCACCGAGATCCTTCTTAATAGACTAACAGCATAGATCGCCTATGGAGAATTTTTGGCAAAAGTAATGCAGTGTCTACTGAGACAAGGAAATAGAGCTTGAGCAAATGACTTCTGATAGTTTCTTGAAGCAGTATTGCTTCTAATTATTTTTTCTACAAGGACTTCTAGAATGTTCTGGAATGTGCCAACTTTACGTAAAAAATTATCTGAACAAGCAAGATCCGTCAGAACCTCCAACAGTTATTCTTTCATCCTCTCTCTTCCATATTTCTAATGATTATAAAACAAGTTGTTAATAAGCTTTTAAAGTTGTTTATATGTATTCAAATATAAGAAAGGTAATACTTCTACTTAAAGCCTTAGACCCCCAGGGGCCTAAATTATACTCAAATTTCAAGGTTTTTAAAATGCTACTCTCCTGACTGGAGAACTAGAGAAGAGCGTAAAGGTCTTTTGTTTTGCACGAGTGTTGGCACAAAGTCTATTATATAGCATTTATAATTTTTATTTTTTTCTTTTAAGTGGCAGCACTTGCAGATGTTCACGAGAGAGCGCGGTTCTAATTTTCCCGTTTCCTGCACGGACACACAGGACAGGGAATGCAGGGTGCCCGAGTCTGACGAGAAGGGTAATCTCACCTACGTGTGGCGACAGTGCCCAGCACTGCCAACCACGGTGGGCACAAGGCGGGCATAGCATTTCTGTGAAACTGCCAGCCGCGATGCGCCCGGCGACGAAGGCTGCTGGCATCTGGGGACAGTCACCCAGCAAACGACGGAAGAGAGCTGCGGTTCCAGGCGCCCGCGGTCCGACACCGACTCAGCCGCCGCTGGGCACAGGGCAATCCAAGGAGGCCAGCCCTTCACATATTAAACAGGTACCTTTGTCCCTATAAGGGGGCTTGAGGCGAGGAAGGCGCGCCGCCGAGCCGGGGCAGGCGCGCCGCGGGCTCATCGGAGCCCGAGCTCTGAGTTATGAGGAGAGCAACCGAGCGCGGGGCTCAGCCACCTCCCACCGGCCTCCTGCGGGCGTTGCCGCCGCCGTGGCTGCGGCCCCGCCTCCGCACTGCCCCGCCCCCGCCCCTCCGTCATTGGCTGCAGGCTCTGCCCACCAGCAAGCCCCGCCCCCTCTCCCAACCTGACGTTCGCTTCCCGCCTCCCGAGTGGCCTGCGCACCCTGTCAATCACCCGCGCGAGGGCCGCGCGGTGCGGCCCGCCCTCCTGGGCGTCTGTGCCGCGGTGGGAAGGGGCGGGCACTCGGGCCGCCGCCGCTTCCCCTCCGCCTCGGAGCGCCGCCCCGGCCGGCCCCGCTTCGGAGCCCCGCGCCAGGGGCGGGGCGGGGCGGGGCGGGTTGGGAAGCAGTGCCCAGAGGTGAAGGACCGAACGCCGAGCCTGTACCCCGCTCCCCTGGGTTCCCCGGTAGGTTGCTGTCCCCGGCCGCTTCTCGGAGCGGCGGCGGTTGCAGCGGTCTCAGCACCCCCGTAGGCCGAGGCCTTGAATTGCCTCCCTCCCCCTTTCCCTGGCGGCCGTGGGGCGTGTGGGAGCCGCGGAGCCCCTTGCGAGCGCGGCGGCCACGGAGGCGGCCTCCCGGGCCGGGGCAGAGAGAGCTGGCGCCTGTGCTGGGCCGTGCCCCGGGCGGGTGTGGGGAGCCGGGCGGCGGGGCTATAGGGGCCTGTCGCCTCCCTGTGGCTGCGCTCCCGGGCGACAAAAGCCGTCGCTGTGAGACCTCCGAGTGCCCTCTTCTGCAGGAGTTGCTGGCGGCGGTGGGGTTCCCTGTCTGGCGGCCGGTGTCGGTGCTCCTGGCGGTGTTTGGTCCGGCCGAGCACCAAGCTGCGTTTGTAGGAAAAACTAAAATTGTTTTCCTGGTCTGTAGAAGCAGGTTGATGGAGTGCGATTGTGCTGGGTTAGCAGATTAGCAGATTAGAGGCAAATTGAGCTGCTGGTGCTCTTTTTTTCTTACCTTTTATTTTGCTTTTTATGAACTTATTTACGGTCACGCTCTGAATGTAGTGGTTTTAAGTTTGATTAATTAAAATCTCTAAAAGTGGTATTTCAGTGATTCACCATGGAACTCATACAGACCTTATTTTCAGACATTCTTGTTCATTTTACTGGGACACCCTTAATGAGTGTTGAAGTGACATGCAATATGTAAAAAGAAATTGGAATATGATTTAAGATTTTTTTTCTAGCTGAATTTTGTAGTTAAGAACATTTGTAAGTACATACATAGTTAGAAATAGATACTGTGCATGTCCTTAAGCATGATTATAAGTGAATCACACTGTTAAGCATATTAAGCCTTGCTGCCTGGGTTATGACTGCTTGTAGGGACAAACACTTTACCTGCTCTTTAGACTCACACCTCTTCTGAACCCATTTATCTAGTGAGTGCATTTTATCCTGAGCTGCATTGGGATGTTAAAATCCAAGATGGGAGTAATGCAATTTTGCTTTAAAGGGAAAAGATGCGATAGAAGTTTCTCTGCTAGCTATTATGTTAGGAGATGTCTTCTCTCGACCCCAGTATCCTGTAGTCAATTTTTTTTGATTGAGACGTTTCTACAGTTAAACAGTATTTGCAGTGGAAAAAGTGGTATTTTGTTGTGCTAGCCTGAAACCTGGCAAACGGCAGACTATTTACATCAGCTGAGAGAATGACTTTCAGCTAATGAAATTAATCTTTTTCTCTCACCACTTCATCAAATAGATGTATTGGCTTATAAAATGTAAATGAATTTCAGAATCTGGAGTATTAGTTCTGATACATCACATTTTCTGTAGAGCTCTTTTTTCTTATGTGTGATCAAGATAAATATATTTAAGATTAGTTGAGAGAATTAACCTGTAACAGGCCATGTCTTAACTCTTCCGAAGTTCTTCCCCTAAAAGAAGTAACTGGGCCTACAGAAGAGTTTTTCCCTTGTCCAATCTATTTAAGTACAATTAAGAAGACTGAATTTACATCCTGTTGCAATTTTTCAGTTTTCAATAGTGTCATACTTAAATTCATTGCATTATTAAAGATCATGCATTATATCAAATCTTAGTGTCCCTATTGTATCCACAAAGTTTGTCCGATGGAAATAGAGTTGTTCTTGGTTCACTAGTTACTGTGCTAAATGGGTCTGTGATAAGAAGTATTAAAGTTACATGTATTTCTAACATTTTCACTCTTGTCTTTGAAAATCTGTTTAAAAAAGATTAGGAAGTCTTCTGATGTTTAAGAGTAATTTGGTTTACTTATGCCTTTGAGACAACAATAAATGGAACATGAGGAATAGGGAAGTGGCAGTGGTTACTTTTCTTCAATATCTTCTAATTACAATAAAGAACAGAGTAGTGATCAGCTATATTAACTGTCTTTATCTAACTTTTCTCCAGCTGAACATTTTTCAGTCTGTTGTAAACAAAATATCCAGTTACATCTTGCTCCTCAGGCTTTTCTTTGTACTTTTAAGTGATTTTTTTGGGGATGTCGTACATAAAAGTAATAATGTAATTAAAAACGCACACGAACCACAGGAATAACAAAATTGTAAGGGAGTTTGACATACTCTTTCTTAGTTTAAGCTCACTGATTCAACTGCAGGTTAATGTCAGGAGTTCTCAGTCAACCCTTAATACCTCACCTGAGGTTGTGTGAACAAAATACCTGACAGTGCTTAAGGGAAGAGTGGGACAATCCTTTTTGGCCATGGTCTGTGTTTAAATGATCTAAAACTGACCATAGTATTTGGTGTCATTTAATAATGTAAATGGATGGTATGTTTCCAACGTACATTGGGCCTTTAACACTCTTTCAGAAATATTTTGAGATTTCTATATAATTGATTTCCCTGATCGAATAAAAGGTTAAAAAGTAACTTTGAAGTAATTGTTGTATATTTTCCGACAACCCTTTTTTTTTTTTTATGCTATGCAGGCCTTTTAATGCTTCCTTAGTGCTGCTGCAGCACCAGTGCAATGAGATCAAGCATGATGCTGCTGTGCTTGTTTTTCTGAGTATAATTCTGAGTAGCCTCCTAGACATTGTCACTGGAGTTCTAGAGGTTTGTAAGCTACAGCTGAAAGAGCTGGGTGAAGAAAAATGGGTGTATTTAAGCTAAATAGTTGCTTAAATAAAAGCAAACTAGTGAGAAGGAAGTTAAAAGGGTGATGATAGCAGATAGTGACAGTGACTGGAATGTCTGTCCTTCCCTGTGGTCTTAGACATTATAATTTAATGTCTCCTCTTTGGCATAGGGAGGATGTAGAAGAGGAGACATCACACACTGATCCATGCTGTGGAATTAGTTTGGATTTTGCTTACTTAGGGAGTTTTCTGAAAGCAATACTTTCAGAGGAAGTTCTGAAGAAGTGCTTTCTGAGGAAGTTCTGAAGAGGAAGTAGTAAAGTATGGAATAATTTATTTTGGTGAGATTTAGCTCACCTGTTATATTTACTTCCAGTGTTCTATAGATGATATATTCATTACCTTAAATTTATGAGAAGGTTTCTTTCTAACAGAAGGGGCAGCAAATATTTATATATAAAATACACATATATGTTAGAAACAGAAATATTTGTGGTAAATACATAATATTAAATATATAACAATTTTAGAATATAACAGATGTGTTTACCAGTGCATTCTTCTAGGATGTTTATTGAACTGCATGTTCCTTATCTCTTAGAGAACAGTTGTAATATCTACACTTCCCTCTCTTCACCACCTTCTTTATCTGGTATTTTTGACTTTCTGTGGGAAACCTTTTTTATTTAAGATAGATTAAAATCCCCATTTGGCTGTTCAAAGAAGGATATTTAGTACAAAATAAGTATATTCTGTCGTTATTAAAAGTTAAAACAGTTATCTTGCCATTTGTGTCTGGTATTCTGCCTTGTGCTGTGGATTTAGGAGTGGGAGGAGACATACTGAGCAATCAGTACCGTCTTTGCCCGAATAACTGTAGGTCAAAGAAGCCCATGGCACACACACAAGTAAGATTTGCATATTCAAGTAAGTTTATTACTTAATTTGACTTTGTATGTAACATCATTAATATAACTACAGCCGTTTTTCCCTGTGCTTTAGGAGCTCTGTAGGATCCTATTTCCTGTGCTTTAGGATCTTCTTACTAACCAGCTTAGCTTTTAATATACCAAGACTTTGTAGTAACAGTTTTAGTTAACTTAGTAATTTAATGTTATTAACTTACTAAGTTAAGTGAATTTAATGTCATTTTCCTAGAAATAATTTTATTTTCCTCCAGACTCCCTGGGTGGTAATTTATACTCTTAATCAATCATATGTTTCAATAATGTTATTTTTGATTAAGACAGGATGTGGACTATAACAGTGGAGGTTGATGTCCTTTCCAGTAGGCCAAAAATACAGATGTTTTATGACAAGGAGAGCCTAGACTTCGGTTTGAAGTATGTGGTTTGTCACAACTTCTTGCATTCTCTATAAATATTCATTGAATAATTTGTGAATTGTTGTGCTCTTTATTCAGTAAACCCTGTGCAATAACAGAATGTAGATGGAACAGTTTTCAGCAGAAGCAGAGTTGAAGAAGGTGTTTGTGTGGCATTTTGTATGTGGAGGCCACTGGGGTGTGATGTGCTTGAAGTGATGCACTTAATGGGGTGTGAAATACCAGTCATTGTGAATGTGCTGCCAGCTGTTGGGAAGGCCCTTCTCTCTAATTTGGGGCATTCTGCTCCATTTCTGGCCTTGCAGTTTTGTAGCTCCGCTCTTGCTCTCCATCCTGTCTCTTGTATCCTCCGCTGAGTTGATTCAGCTTCTGTTCAGTAGTGAGTTACTGAGATTGTGAACTTTCTGGCACTCTTGAGTGAGTAATGGTTTCACTGAGGCCTGGGAGTGCTGGGGCTGATGAGCAACAGGAGCAGCAGGTAGCGTGCCACATGCAATAGAAGAGCCATTGTATTAACCCATCAAAGTTGATTGCATTTTGTCTTTTGCATTTGCATTTTGCAAATTTCAGACTTAGCTTCTATTGTAGCCGTAAAACTGTTCTTCTTGGTTCAGTTTGTCTTTGAGCTTGAGGTGTTAATTACCTAGTTAATGTTCGATCTGTTTAATTTTTAAAGCTGCATTGGCTGCATTTTTGTAGAAAATGCTTTAAAATCATCGGCTTCTTGGCAAGTTCCCTTTGTGATGCTGGAAGGTGTGATTTAGTCCAGGCGAGGACACATGCCTGCAGCCTAGAAGAAAGTACTATTTAAAAAATGGTTATGCATAGAATAATCCTGTGAGTATCTTTCTGTGTTTAAGGCACTAAGCAGTTTTCATTTTATGTCTTTTTATTGAAGTTAAATGAAGTAGTTAACATGGCTGTTAGCATGTTTCAACGACTTTTTAATGTAATGATATAAAGCAATCTTTAAACGCATTCAGCATTGCCTTAGAGGAG